AACCCACTGTAGCCCCTTCCCTGGGGCCTGGCGGACCCAGCTCATGTAGTAGCTGCTGAAGGTGAATCCCGAGGCTACACAGGAGAGTCTGAGAGAACCCCCAGGCTTCACCAAGTCTCCCCCAGACTCCACCAGCTTCTCCTCACACTGGACACCTGCAAACACAGACACATCAGTCAGGACACTGGCTATCAGCACCGCTTTTCCCGTCCTGTCCCCTCTCCTCCTCATGTTCTCCAACTCCGATCACTGACCCCCTAGAAGAGCCAGGAGGAGCAGCCAGCTCAGCCCACACTCCATGGTGAGTGTCCGCATCTGTCCTGACCCAAGTGACCCCTGGATCCCGGCTGGGCTCCTGTGCAGAGCCGCAGGGCCTGGCTGGGCTGTTTTCAGCAGCAGGGGACGGCCCTATTTGCATGTGTCCTGCCATATAGCAGGCTCTGGCTGGAGGCTGGGACAGAGGAGCCCAGGGAGGGTCCTGGAGACCTTTGGGACATAACACATGATGTGCATGTGCCTTGTGAGGTGTGACAGCTCGTTATCCCAGCACCTGTCACCTGTTTTGATGTCAGCCCAGGTCTTGCTCAAGAGTTCACTGTGGGGTCCTTTTACCTGAATTTTTTTTATGTTTTACTCTCAGTCCTTTCTCACTGCTCATTTCCTCACTGTCCAGAGGGTTTCTGTTTGTTGTCGCCCAGGTTTACACGGCCAGGACAGTGGAGCCTGAGGATACGGGGAGTCAGTCAGGGGCACACAGACGCTGAGTCACTGCAGGCGCAGGCAGACGGGACACAGCAGAGACCGGTGAGGTTCTGCTCGTGGTGTCTGTGGCTCCTTGGCCGCGGGGCGACGCACAGCCGGTCTCAGTCACTGAGGTGACTGCACAGTGGGTGCTGGGTTTTCCCTCATTTTCCGCATCTGCTGACATGGAGGCTGCAGTGTCGTCTCAGCCTGTTCTAGCTCAAAGCACACTTCAGTCTGTCACACGTGCATCACCCACTCAGGTGCTCACACATGCGTGTTCCCCTCTCAGTGAGGAAAGCCCAGCTGCCTGGTGTCCCTGGCCTGAGTCCTGGTCTCACACTGTGGCCCCAGCGCCCCCTGCTGGCCCTGGGTGTC